TTATTGATTATTTCTTAAAAAACCAGTTAATTTAATCACTTTATCCAGACTAATAATCATAAGTATACATTTTATTATCCTTTATATAGTAGTCTTTACTTAACAATATTTTACTTCCTTTTAATTTTTATTGTTTAATTATTGGTTGAAGTTTTTGCTTTCTCAACTTTCACCTTTTACACAAGTCTGCTGTATATGTTTTTTCATTTCTTTGTTGTCTAAACTAACTTTTTTTTTTCAAAATTCTTTTAAAATTAAATTTCTAGTGTAGTGAGAGTCTACTGAAATTTTCACCGTTGTTTCATTTTTAGTCAAACAAATTAAGCTCTCAAACTATCTGGGCTATTTTATATTCCTAATTTTTCCTTTATAAACTGATTAACTTTCCCCAAATAATCCAACGAAATAAGCGGAAATGGTTGAAGTTTACCTCGGTAGTCCCAATGGCAACGCTTAGATTGGTTAGGTTAAGTTAATTACATTTTTAGTAGACGGAAAAAAGGTGTACCTAAAAAGAAAAAAAAAAGAAACGTCTACTAAAAATGTAGTTAACCAAACCAAGCTAAGCGCGGCCATTGGGATTACCGAGGTAAACTTCAACCATTTCCGCTTATTACAACAAATCTTTAGACGTTAGAAATTCGTTGCATCTGGGTCGAAAACGTTAATGTTTCTTTAATAAAACATTTCTGGGCATCGGGTGTTGGACGATTTATTAAATATTTAAAGAGCCGAGTAAGATATTTGGTTAAAAAGATTACTTTTATTTAAATTTGCGTTATGAATAAATTAATAATAATAAAAAATAAATTTATTTATATATTTTAATTTCTAATTATAAAAGTATAATAATCAATTTAAACTAACTGTTTTTTATTAAAAATTTTTAATAAAAACAATATGTAATTTATTAAAAAGTTGTTTTTATCAAAAACACATTTATCATCATTTTAAAAATTTGTATGTAAAGTCTGTGAAGAAAATTAATTTTTTAAAATTTCATCTAGTAATATTTTCGACTGCATTCGCTATATACAGTTTAGATGCGATTAGGTTAGAGAAACTATGTATTTTAGCCTAAAGAGGGCGATGGGTATTGTCCATTATCACGTGATCAGCTACTATTCAGTTAGCGTAAGAATGAATACCAGCGAAAAGAAAGAACGCCAAATTTCGCAGATTATTTTGCTGTAAAAATACATCGAATAGTAACGTTACACACATCTATATATATATATGTTACAGTTAAAACCCGATTTTAGTTAAAACCCGTTTTAACTAGTTAAAACTAGTTTTTACTGGATGCCTTTGTTAAAACTAGAATTTACTGCTAGTCAAAAATGAATTTCAGTTAAAACTAGTTTTAACTAGACAAAACGGGTTTTAACTAAATGGCTTAGTAAAAACTATTTGGACCGAAATCAAAGTTCATTCAGCTAACACATGTGTGATACACGGTATCACACAACAGTCTGCAAGGACCGCTCACGCTGTCGTTTCGGATGGCTTTTTATCGAGTGGCAAGGGAAGTGAGCAAGTCAGCAGGCGTCCTTTCAAAGACAGGAGACAGGTTTAACGAATAAACAAAGCATTTATTGAATAACTAAAGTTAAAAATGTCGGTTAAATGCGATTAAATATGAGATAAATATACAAANGTTTTGGTGTTATATTATTTCATACAATTATTGTGTTTTAATTTTATTCGATATTAAAACATTTAATTCTTTCATATTTTAAAAATTTACTTGAATATTCTCAACATTCGGATTATTTTTTTTGAGTAAAAATTACTTTTGTGATTAGAAAAATTAATTTTGTAATCTGAAATAATTCTATTCAACAAATTTTTATTTGCAATTTTAATTTAATTGACATATGAAATTAATTTTGTGATCAAAGCTGCCCAAACCAACTACTAGCGTGTCCGTAGGACCAAAAACCTAAGCTTAACTGTCACCCTTGGAGAGATTTAATTATATAAATAACTTGTTCAATTATTCGTATTTATATTTTATTAGCAAAAACTATCCAAAACATGAACAATGCTTTGTATTTATATTGTAATGGCATAGAATTTTTTCTGTAGATTGCAAGATTTATGCACTTTGCTACGGGTGGAATCTTTTCGTTTGTGGGATGCTTAGTCTTGTAAAGTTAGTTTTAAAGTAAATTTCTAAAATTATAGAATAATTTTTCATTTATTTGAATTTAATTTTGAATGACTTTTTAAAATATTTAAAAATTTTTTAATGTATTAAAAACTTGATTATAGAAATTAGGTATTCCCGTCACCGACGAACAAATTCGAGAAATGGAGAACTTTGTGGGCAAGATCGACTTTCGGCAGGCGGCCGAAGAAGAAAAACTGACCAGACACGACGTCATGGCTCACGTTCGAGTGTTTGGCAAGTGCTGCCCGGCGGCGGCTCCGATCATTCATCTCGGTGCCACGTCTTGTTACGTTGGAGATAATACGGTTGGTTAAAATATAATTATTTTAATAAATATTTGTTCATTTGCTGACATTATTATCATTAAAAATGTATTTTTTAATTCAGGATTTAATAATGATGAGAGATGGACTGAATATTTTGTTACCAAAAGTAAGTCTGTTATATCAAAATAAGTTTTTAATGTAAAAATATAATATATATATACTTACTACAGAATCAATATTATATTAGAAAACTTTCAAAACTCTAATACAAGCTCAGATTTTAAGAAAACTTATTTTATAGGAGTGACTTTAAATACCTAAATACTCTTAAATCTATCTTTAGAGGTTTATGTACCTCTAAAGAGAAACATTAAATGTTAACAATGACCTTTCGAAGTAATTAAGTTTATGAAAGCAAGCGAGAGAGGTTTGAAAGCATGTGTTCAAACATTTAAAATTTCTCTGACAAAAGCAAAGACGACTTATATTATTGATTTTGTATAATATGGTTTTGCGTATTGTTTCGAATACTCGATTACTTGTCGGTCGATCTTATTGAAAATTGGGAAAATTCTGACTGTTTTGGGAAGTGGTTGTGAAATCTTTGTCTTCTGATGCAGGCTGAATAGGATGTATAAAACTTTGCAATATCTGAATTATTAAAAGGAGAATTTATATAATTATAAAAATTTGGAACTGTAGTTATTCATAATTTAATACATGCACTGTTTAAAAAAGCTAATTTGTGTTATTTGTTGAAAAAGTATTATAGAATTTATAGACTAGGGAATGTCTGTACCGAGCATAGCTAATAAGTTGAATCTGATTGACTGGTCAATCGTTGCACAATTTTTGATAAATCACAGTTGATTTAGTCAGTTAAAATATGAAAAAAATTTTGATTTTCTTTGGGAATATAAATCGTTTGGCACTGACGGCCATAGCAATAGCTATGGGCTGTTGGTGCCGTGTCGTACGAGATAATGTGGAGTAGTCTTTGTCTCCGATTACGACGTGGCAAAAAGCTATGTAGATATTGAATGAGAAACACAAAGAATGGAACACACACACACTTTTGGTCGTATGGTGGGCTCTTCAAATTTAATTTCTTCCAGGAGTCCATTTGAACTCTGGATTGTTTATAATCCAAATCAATTTTTCCCATTAGAAATAATGGCAAAAGATTTTATCCATTTCTAGACCCCTAAACAATTTCCATTTCTATAAACTTAAACAGCAAATATGCATAACTTAAGTTAAAAATATTACATGGCATTCAACTGCATTAAAGTAAAACAAACAATAAATAAAATACATAAATGCAACTCATTTCATTATACAGTACTGTAGTATGTAAAGCTATTATGCAGCTTGCTTGGCTTTCTCACAAATAATACTCTTGGAGGTGCTTTCATCAGCCATTTACTTCTCATTTACCCACATGGAAGTTTTTCCATCTGGGTAACATAATCTCCTAGAGGTCAGTTTTGTCATACCTTTAGCCATATTTGCTGCTTTTACTGCTTTCTTGTTCTTAAGAATGGCACACTCCATTGACTTTGACATTTTAAATACAGACACCAGATTCACCAAATAACTTTTTCACGGTTTGCAATAAGATCCTTTTTCACCGTAATCATTGTTACTACAACCTCTCCTTAGGCCCATCACTTTCACTCTTCTTGGATGCAATGATTAAAGAATAGGGATTTTATAATATATAACTTAACACACAAAACAAAAAAAAAAAAAAAACAAAAAGCCAAAAAAGCATCGAAAACAGTGTAATGCAAGAAATACTTTTGCAGTGGGAGACAACTGACACGTAAGAGAATGTTTATGCAGCAAATGCACTTTTTCACTGCGTGCACAGTTCAAATTGTAAAAGCATTGCTCAAATTCCTGGTTGAATTCCTGTAGAATTTGGCATTCAAACTCTGTACTTTGAACATTCCAGTGATACCATACTTAGATGATACGGTAGTTTAGAAACTGTCATATTTTGTCTTAAACAATAATAGTTATGTGCAAAACGATTATACCAAAGAGAAGCAAGATTTGTTTGTAAAATGAATGGAAATAAAATTTGGTTTATTTCAGTGAATGATAAATACTGTTGGTTTTTTAATTTGTTGAACTCTTTTTTGGTAATAAAGCTAATCTGGAATGTAAAATATCTATCTTGCAATAAATAAATATAACTGTTTTACTTCATAATTTTATAACAGCAGGTTAATAGACTTTTTATATAGAATAAAAATATGATGATAGATTGTGTGTACTTTTGAATCATGAATTTTAATCATATTCCACTAAGTTGGCCAAATCTGGCATACACCTTGTTTAAAATCCAAATGATTAAAAATTAAAATTTGTTAGAGTAACACCAAGATAAAGTATGATGAGAGAANAATTATTTGCGAGAAAGCTAAAAAGATACACGCTGATCTCACGAAAAATCAAGCAGAAACTAGCGAGGAAAGCCAGGTGTTTAAAGCCAGCCATTTTTTTACACGAGAACGGATTAATCATTTTTACATTACTTCTTATGGGAAAGGTTGGTTCGGTATACGTTCTATTCGGTACAAGTCCAAACACCAGGAACGGATTAAGGTCGTATACCGAGGTTCCACTGTAGTACTAAAAATTCTTTTTTTATTCGTTCTACAGTAAAGATGGCATTTGAAAGCAATTATTTATAATTTTACTTCTTAACTTCTATGATTAAATAGTTTAATGTTAATGAAATATATTTAATTATAAAACATAACATATTTTTTGTTTTATTCGTGTAGTTAGCACGCTGCATCCACAAGTTGGCAAAATTTGCCGAAGATTACAAGGACCTGCCAACTCTTTCTTATACACACTTTCAGTAGGAAATCTTTATATAAAATGTTCGTTTAATCAAACATTAACGTAAATTTATAATTGGATTATTTTTTTTGAATTAGACCGGCTCAGCTGACGACGGTCGGCAAACGTACCTGTCTCTGGGTGTCAGACTTACTCGCCGATCTGAGAAACTTAACCAGGGTGCGCGACGAATTAAAATTCAGAGGCGTGAAGGGAACGACAGGAACTCAAGCTAGCTTTCTACAGTTATTCAATGACGACGAAGCAAAAGTAAGTAAGACATTTCTTATTAGAGATTTTATAATCTGTTTTTAATTATTTAAGTATAAAATTAAAATATTACAAAATTTTGAAAACACGTAACACATAAAAGATGCACTCAATTTACAGGTTTTGCATAATTTAAAAGCATCACAAAATTACAAATAGAGTATTTATTAGAAATATAATCTTACATTTTATCCAGCAAAATGGATACATTTGATTTATAACAATTTCTAAGAAAAACAGTACAGCTGAAAATGTAAAAAAGCTATCGAAGAATATGCGATATCGAAGAATATGCGTCCTATATGCGATGATCTCGCATATAGGACGAGGTATGTTTTTATAAATAACTAGAAACTATTTTCTGCCAACGAATGAGACGGTTTTTAATTAATTAATGGACGTAGGAGTAAACCAGGAAACAAAGGAAAGTGTGTCTTAATTTGTTTACAGTAGGTGCCAACTTACGCTAAATAGACTGTAGACCTATGACAGCGTGAAGTATACACGATTTACAGAAATTATTGCAAAAACGCAAAGAATCCTTCGCTCGCGCATATAGGACTACCTAGGTTTTTGAAGCACTAAAATATGAATAAAAACCTCTTCTTACATGCGAGTACATACAGTATTTCTGAATATATTTTTACAACTTGTTACATTGTTTTAAATATCATGAATTATTTGATTCTTTATATAGAGATTGACTGCAGGGACCCATCCTCTAGCAAATGTAAATGAATTGAAATCATACTTTGAGTATTTCTAGTAGTTGAATTTTTTAATTATGACAAGCTTAGAACAATTGAAACAATAGAAATCTTTACGAAATCCCTCAACTGTATTAAAAGCAGAGACGCAGACTCGCCCTCCACCGCGTGGCAATCACTCCTCGATAACCCCTTAAATTAAATAGGCCAATCCACCCTCGTCGAGCCCGTTGTTCATCATCAATAGTCATTCGCACATCTTGGTTAAACTCAAAAGATAAAGTTTAAACGATATCGACATTGTTAATTATTAGCAATGCCGTCACTAGTAAGAAGAAACCTTGTAAACAGTGACGTCATTTAAATATCTACAAACTTACGTTCCAACCAACCTTATTGTACCTGAAGGCGGCCATTCAAAACGGCCGAAAACGTTTGTACTTAGTGATTAAACTGCTAGAAACAAAGTGTGAAAGGTTTTTAGTCTTACTTATTACACTAAAATTAAAATTGAAAATATCAGATTTTATTATGCGGTTGAGATTTGCTATTGGGACAAATGTAGACAGTCAAACTCTAATGTTACGCAATATGATATTTGATGATAAAAATGAATTAGATGTAAAATGGCATTTTTATTATAATTACGTTTAAGATGGAAAGAAAAATTCATTTTCAATTGATAAATTTTTAGGTCAAAGAATTGGATA